GCCTCCCAAGTGCTGGGATTAAAGGCATGCGCCACCAACGCCTGGCAGATCTCTTTCATTTTAAATCTGAAATTTATATAGCTTCCACAACTCATAGAATTGAGAGACAACAATTTATTTTATTTTTTTATTTCATTTTATTTCGTTTTTTATTTCATTTTTGTGGGAAAACAGTCTTTGGAAGAATGCTTATCCTCTAGATACCTATCTTAGTTACTATTTTATTGTTTTGATGAATTACTCTGGCTGATGTAGCTCTTATGAAAGAAACTATTTTGGGACTTGCTTGCAATTTCAGACATTTAATGCATTCACCATGGTTATGAGCACCATAGCATGTAAGTGCCATACTGAGAGCTACATCCTGATCCATAAGCAGATAGTGGGAGCAACACTAGGCCTGGCTTTGGCTTTTGAAACCTCAAAGCTTACCTCCAGTTTATACTTATTTCAATAAGGCCACACCTCCTAATCTTTCTAATCCTATGGAAGAACTCCTTTGCCTGATGACTAAGCATTCAAGTATAAGAGTCTATGGGAGCCATTCTCATTCAAACCACCAAGCATAAAACACAGCTAACATTTTTGTTGTTGAGACAGGATATTACTGTGTGTCCCTGGCTGATCTGGAACTCACTGAGATTGCATGCCTTTAATCTCACTACTTGGGAGATAGAGGCAGTTTGATCTCTTGAGTTTAAGGCCAGCTTGGTCTTCAGTGTGAGTTCCTGGACACCCAGGAACTACCTAGTGAGATCCTAAAAAGAAGATAATAAAAGACACCACCATGCCAGCCCTAACCACATTTTTTATTTTAAAAGTGATCCATGTATTTAGTGAAATTCATACATCCTGCCACCACTTTGTTTCTTTTGAAGTCAGAATTCTGTTATAACCACTGACAGTTAATATTTTATTTCTGCCATTTCGGTAAAAATTTTATGAAAAGCCAGTCACTTAATAGCAAAAAGTAACAGTTTTCACTGGGTTACTTTTTAGAATTTGTTGTCCTCGTTATGGAGAAAGAAGACAAACTGAGAGTGATTGGGGGAAGCGATGTGTGGATAAGTTTGACATTATTGGGATAATTGGAGAAGGAACCTATGGCCAAGTATATAAAGCCAAGGACAAAGACACAGGTACATTTACTAATATTTTAAATAGATTTAATAAAATAAGTTTTAGGCTCTAATTTGTTCTCTTAATTATTAAGTAGATTAAAATGTTCCAAAAGAATAGTTTGGTCAACCCTTAGTGTCTGTTCCAGGACCTCGCTGTACCAAGTCCTTTACATAAAATAGCATAATATTTGCATGTAACCCCTACTCATCCTCCTGTTTAGTTTAAATTACCTCTAGAATATTCATGGTATGAATAAAGGCAAATTATGAATAAACATTGTTATCATTCAAGGATTAATGACAAAGAAAATGATGTCTGATTATGTACAGTTCAGAAAGTATCTATTACCACTGGCAAATGTTTTTAGTCTACAGTTGTTTGAGTCTATGAATGACATGTAAGATACAGAGAGCTGACTGTATAATAATGTTATAGTAAAGCTTTCATTTTGGGCTACGAATATAGTTCAGTGTTTGAGTACATTTATGAGCACTATATTGATTTTCAGCATTATAAACTTAAAGCTTAATTCCTCTACTTTTGTTGTCTGTTTTGAATATTAATTGTTTTGACTTGAAGTATTTTGTTTTTTGTTTTGTATTATGGTTTGGTGCTGGGATTTGAACCTTGGACTTACACAAGCAGTTTATCAAAACTTTTGTGTGTGTATGTGTGTTATAAATTTTTAGTGTTTGTTGGAAATTTTTGTATTATTTTGCCAGGATGGTATTATAATATTATTTATTAATGAATACACATATATGTGTCTGTTTGTCTCTTTGGGGCTTATTTGTGTCATGGTACACATTGGGCAGAGGACAACTTGCAGGTAGTCCTTCTCTCATATGAGATCACTAGGGAAGCAGAGGTAGGAAAATAAGTTGGAGACAGCTCAGTCTACTTGCAAGATCAGGTCTCAGAAATGAGAAAGGGGGTTAGGAAAATAATGAGATTATATATCAGCATGACTCAGTATGAAGAATGGGGAACATAGGACTAGGGCTGGTTGTGTAGTCCGATGATAGAAGAAATGCTTATCATAGGTTCTAAATTCAGTCTTAGCCCCCTAAAAAAAAAGAGAAGGGAAATGAAGTGGTTTTATATAAAAACACAAAAATGCTTAAGTCTGTGAGGGCAAGAATGTGTAATGCTAGTTCATGAGGATGACTAAGTTGTTTATAGTGACAGTTTGCGTATGTTTTTGCAGGAGAACTAGTAGCTCTGAAGAAGGTTCGACTAGACAATGAGAAAGAGGGCTTCCCAATCACAGCCATCCGGGAGATCAAAATTCTTCGTCAGTTAGTCCATCGAAGTGTTGTTAACATGAAGGAAATTGTCACAGACAAACAAGATGCACTGGATTTCAAGAAAGACAAAGGTAATAGCAGAAATTTCAGATTCTTTTGTTTTGTTTTGTTTTTGTTTGTTTGTTTATTTACTATGTATACAGTATTCTGCCTGCATGTCAGAAGAGGGCACCAGGTCTCATTGCAGATGGTTGTGAGCCACCATGTG